AAAAACATCGGTGTATAAATTCCGTTCCTGAGAGTGGGCGGAGAGAGGAGCGAGGTAAGTTGGGTGCGCTCGCGCCACATCTGATACCGTCAACCCGCAAAGTTAGGAGGAGCAGCCTTCCCGAGGGCACCCTCGCATCCTTGCCTCCTCGGTCCATCCTTGGCCACTTTTGCTGGCCGCGCCCCGCCCGCGAAGTGTTGGCATGGCCTTCCATGGTCTTCGAAGTGCGAGGACGAGTGGGCGGAGAAAGGAGCTCGGGCGGGTGGTAATGGGGGGTGGCCCACATGGGGGGTGAAGAAAAGGGCCCTAAAGGGGTCCTTTCGGGCTGTGTTTAAGCACCAGCAGGCTCCCAAAGGGGCCCTGCACGGCCCCTTCAGGGCCCTCTTCTTGACCACCCACTTGGGTCATCCCCCACTACTAACCGCTCGAGGGGAGAGGAGCGAGGCATCATCGAGGATAAAAGAACCCCTAACCTGAATAACACGACGGAGACGTATCCTCATTGAGGTCCCCGTCTTTGCACCAGAGATAACAAGTTTGGGCGGTTTGGTTCGATACATCTGCAGAACTGGTTCCATATCCCTAAAGTGTTTGACCCTCCAACTTAGGTCCCCTCCTAAAGGGTTAGGGGTTCTTTCCGGGTTAATCATGGTAAGCTGGGCGCGCTCGCGCCATAGCTGATATCGTACCCCATCTCGCCCATCGTTTCCCATCGCGTTTTTCCCCCTGCCATCATGTGGTGTTGGGTCCTCGCTCGTTTTGAAGAGACAGTCCCCGCGTCTCCTCCTTGTTTTTTTCGCTGATCGGACTTAAGCTGGGCAGCTGTACTTTTCTTGAAATGATGCATCTCCGACTCGGCGCAGACAGTACCTGGCAGGCGCAGCGGAAAAAACAACTAGAACATGAGGCGGCGGCAGACATGGAAACAAGTGGACGCCCGCGTGCAGTTCTTGGCTGCTAGCCAACGGGATAGAAAAAATGCTGCTGATGCAAAGATGCTGCCATGTACTTGCAGTTAAAGTGTGATGCACCGTGCTGGCTCATGAGAATGTAGGGCTTGAGGTTCTTCCCTCCTGGGCAGACTGCTCACGTGTACTCACGCAAAGTGTGTTGCGATTGAGCGGGTAGCGTATTCTGTCCAGTCTGTGTGCGACATTTGGGTTGCTGCCCTTGGGCATAAGACATACTCGGCTCGCAAAGAATGCTGCTGCAAAGGACGGTCCGCAGATTGGTGAGCAAACGTCTTCCCCCCCCCCCACCTCAACTGCATCGAACCTGCCCACGCCCCCTTTTCCAAGAGATCAGAGTGTGGCTGGCTGTGCTGCAGGCTGTCAGGCAATGGGTCTGCGGGCTGGCCTGTCATAGCCTGTGGAGGTACAGGCTTGCATGATGGTGCAGCGAGGAGAGGCCTGCAACAAGAAAGGTACGGGTGGCCGTAAGGTATTAGTTCCGCTTGCAGGGTAGCGTCGCTTTTGTAAGGTGGCACAGCAACAGAGTATGCAGAAACAAAAATGGCGCCGGGAGACTACCACAGTTGGGTGGCAATGCAAGGAACAAAGTGGGGACGTTTCCTGTAAGGGGTTCCCAGAGTACAAAGCCTTGTGTGCAGCAAGGCAAGCTGAGTGACTGCAGGCTTTGGCAATTCTTGGGCTGCTACCCTGGGTTTTTGGGTTTACCCCGAACCACCTCCTCCTCCTAATCCTCCTCCTCCTCCTCTCCTCTCCTCTCCTCTCCTCTCCTCTCCTCTCCTCTCCTCTCCTCTCCTCTACTCTCCTCTCCTCTCCTCTCCTCTCCTCTCCTCCTCCTCCCGTTCCTCCCTCCTGTCGCCCTTGCCTCTGTCCTCCGCATGTCAACCAGTTCGGCATTCCCGTCACCCCCCTCACTTTGGTACACCCCTCACACGTTTCGTGGCCACATAGGGAGCTCCACCGAAGGCCCCAGTAGCATGGTTCGCATGCCACCACCCCTTCCACTTTGGCACACCCCTCACACGTTTCGTAGCCCTATAGGAGTTCCACCGAAGGACCCAGTAGCATGGTTTGCAACCCCCTCCAATTTGGCACACCCCTCACACGTTTCGTTGCCCCAGGGAGCTCCACCGAAGGCCCCAGTGGCATGGTTCGCATGCCGCCCCCCGGCCATTTTGGCACACCCCTCACACGCTTCGTGGCCGCACAGGTAGCTTCACCGAAGGCCCCAGTGGAACGGTTCGCATGCCGCGCCCCGGCCAATGTGGCACACCCCTCAGACGTTTCGCGGCTCCACAGGGAGGTCAACTCAAGGCCCCAGCGGCATGGTTCGCATGCCGCCCCCTTCCATTATTCAATCGCTTCGCTCATTCCGCCGGCCCGTATTCTGCCATCGCAGGGATTTGCTTGCGCGTTCGTGGCCTCTTGGGCCCTCTTGGGGGCCGTTTGGGGGCTTCTTGGGGCCTCTTTTCAGGCCTCTGGGGGGCCTCGTGCGGCCTCCAGGGGGCCTGGGGTCTCTTAGGGGCCTCTTGGGGCCTTCTATCGGCCTCTTGGGGCGGAAGGCGCGGATTGGTGGTTCTTGTTCCCCCTCTTGGGCCTCTCTTGGGGCCGTCTTGGGGCCCTCTTGGGCGATCTTGGGCGCCCCTGGGACCGTTTTGGAGCCCTCTTGGGCAGTTCTGGGGCCCCGTTGGGGGCCTCTTGGGCCGTCTTGGGGCGATCTCTGAGGCCTCTTGGGCTGTCTCGGAGCTTCGGGAAGCCGAAAAGACGAGAACGCCCAAATCCATCAAAAAACCAATGGGACATCGATTCATTTTGCCTCTTGGGGCCCTCTGGGGGGTGCTCTCTCGTAGGGCTACTTTGGCCTACCAGTTCGACCGGCGGGGAGGGCCCCCGCTCGAGACATCCTCGAAAGTCCGCCCCGGCGGGCCTAGGGCCTACTAATAGGTTTATTTCGGCGTACTAGTACGGCCCCGCCGGCTTGGCCAGGGCGTACTCGTAAGGCTACTTTGGCGTATTAGTACGACCGGTGGGGAAGGCCCTCCTCGAGACATCCTCGAAAGTCCACTCCAGCAGGGCTGCAGGTAGAGCCGAAGTAGCCGCACAAGTATAACTCCAGGAGTTTGGCCTGGGCGTCCTAGTAGACACACTTCGTACGCCTCCCTCGGTCCGCGGGTCGTACTAGTAGGCGTACTGCGGCCCTACGAGTACGCCTCCCTCGGTCCGCGGGTCGTGGCGTACTTCAGCCCTACGAGTATGCCTCCCTCGCTCCGCGGGTCATACTAGTAGAAGTACTTCTGCGTACTAGTAGAGTACTTGGGCGTATTCGTACGACCCGCCGGGTCGTCGTAGTAGGCGTACTTCGGCCCTACGAGTACGCCTCCATCTTTCCGCGGGTCGTACTAGCAGGCGTAATTGGACGTACTAGCACGACCGCCAGGTCGTAGTAGTAGGCCTTCATCGGCCCTACGAGTACGCCTCCCTCGTTCCGCGGGTCGTACTAGTAGGCGTCGCGAGCGTACTAGTACGACCCGCCCAGCCGTACTTGTAGGCGCACTTCGGCTCTACGAGTACGTCTCCCTCGCGCCGCGGGTCGTACTAGTAGGTATACTCGTGCGCACTCCGAGTCGTAGTAGTCGTGATATTCGTAGTAGTAGTAGTAGTAGTAGTGTAGTAGCTGAGTAGTAGTAGTAGTGGTAGTGGTAGATAGTAGTGGTAGCAGTAGTATTAGTAGTAGTTAGTAGTTGTAGTGTTGTAGTAGTAGGAGTAGTTAGCAGTAGTAGTGAAACTAGTAGTAGTAGTAGTAGTAGTTAGTGTAGTTAGCGGGTAGTCGTTAGTCGTTAGTCGTAGTCGTGTAGTCGTAGTCGCAGTCGTAGTTCGCAGCGTAAATCGTAGTAGTAGTAGTAGTAGTAGTAGTAGTAGTAGTAGTAGTAGTAGTAGTAGTAGTAGTAGTAGTAGTCGTAGTAGTAGTAGTAGTAGTAGTAGTAGTAGTAGTAGTAGTAGTAGTAGTAGTAGTAGTAGTAGTAGTAGTAGTAGTAGTAGTAGTAGTAGTAGTAGTAGTAGTAGTAGTAGTATCAGTAGTAGTAGTAGTCGTCGTAGTAGTAGTAGTAGTAGTAGTAGTAGTAGCAGTAGTCGTAGTAAGCGCTGTAGTAGTAGTAGTAGTAGTCGTCGTCGTCGTCGTAGTAGTAGTAGTAGTAGACGTAGTAGTAGTAGTAGTAGTAGTAGTAGTAGTAGTAGTAGTACTACTACTACTAGGCGTAGTTCGGCCATGCGAGTACGCCTCCCTCGCTCCACGGGTCGTACTAGTAGACGTATTTGGGCGTACTAGTACGACCCGCCATCCCGTAGTTGTAGGCGTACTTCGGCCCTACGAGTACGCCTCCCTCGTTACGCGCTTCGTAATAGTAGGCCTACTTCGGCCCTGCGAGTACGCCGTTCTCGTTCCGCGGGTTGTACTAATAGCCGTACTTGGGCGTGCTAGTACGACTCGCCAGGCCGTAGTTGTAGGCGTACTTGGGCGTATTAGTGCGACCCGCCGTGTCGTACTAGTAGGCGTAATTGGGCGCACTAAGTAGTACGACCGACCGGGTCGCAATAGTAGGCCTACTTCGGCCCTACGAGTACACCGTTCTCGTTCCGCAGGTCGTACTAGTAGGCGTACTTGGGCGTACTCGTACGACCCGCCGCGTCGTACTAGTAGGCGTACTTCGGCGTACTTCGTACTAGTAGGCGTAGGCGTACTAGTACGAACCGCCGGGCCGAGTCGTACTAGTAGGCGTACTTCGGCGTACTAGTACAAACCGCTCGGACAACCAAGCACTTTCTCCTGGCGGCTCAGCGCCCGTCGCGCTCGAGTGCGCCCTGCTGGAGGCTGACCATGTGCAGCTGCAGGACTGGAAGGCCCGCGTGCTTCGCCCACCGGGAGAGGCCGCGGGTCTGCGTTAAGATCTTCGTCCCGCTCAACCCTACATCGATCCTATGCTACGTCATCTTGTCACCTACGGCCACTTCATTGCCGAGCTGCTGGGCCAAGGGATGCTGCGGCTGTCGCGAGCCAGCGGCCGCCCAGGGCTTCTGGGCGTCTTTGTCGCGGCCAAGAAGTCTGGGCAGCAGCGACTCGTCTTCGACACGCGCGTCTGCAACGCACGCTTCAGTCCGCCCTTCTGCACCGAGCTCCCCAGCGCCAGCGCTTTCTCGCGCATGGGGACACAGGGATGTGGCGACACGTGGTTCAGTAGTGGCGACATCTCGAACGCGTTCTACGCCATGCAGGTCCCGGTAGGCCTCTGCGAGTTCTTCGCCCTGCCGCCTGTGCGGGCTGGGCATGCTGGCGTGTCTCAGCTTGATGACGCCCCTGTGCACGAATCGGAGCTGCTGCCGCCAGAGCTCACCATCTTGCCCATGGGTTGGTCGTGGGCCTTCCACCTCTGCCAGTGCGTCTCGGGGGCCGTCCTCGCGCGCGCCTGCATGGCGCCCGAGCAGCAGGTCCGCGACCGCAGCTTGGGCGTCAGGCTTGGGCCACGGCTTCCCGCCGCCGGGGCCGCCTACGTGGACAAGTACCTGGTGGCTGGCTGCCAGCGCGCTAGGGTGCAGGCCGTGGCGCAGAAGGTCGAGCGCGAGCTTTCCTCTGTTGGCTTCGTCTCGCACGAGCAGGTCAGCGCCGCTCGCCAGGCCAGCTTCGCCGGCCTCGACCTCGACGGGCACGAGCGCTCGGTGCGGGTCTGGGCTCGCCGCGCCTGGCGGCTCCGCTACGCCGTCGAGGAGTCGAGGAGTCCTTGCGGCGCCCGCTCCTCGAGATCATCCTGGGGCACTGCAACTGGGTCACGCTGCTCAAGAGGTGCTCGCTGGCCATTTTAGACGCCGTCTACCCGTTCACTCAGGCGGCGAAAGACAAGACCCTGCCGCTCTGGCCGTCGGTCCGCCGCGAGCTCTGGCCCGCGCGCTCGCTGCTCCTGCTTTTCGTCTGCTTCGCGGACGCGGAGTGGCATCCCGAGGCTACGGCCAGCGACTCCTCTAGCTGGGGCTGCGGAGTTTGCCGCCGTCGCTGCTCGCCTGATGGCGTCGCCCGAGGTAGGCCGAACGGCCGAGAGGTGGCGCTGCCTCTTCGAGGACTCGGCCCGCGCGCGCGAGCACGCGCTTGGCGCCGGCGAGCGCCGCCCCCGTGCTCCGCTGCCGTCCGAGGTCGCCAAGGACTGGAACAGGTCCTTCGGCGAGGTCGACCCGAACCTGCTGGTCGGCGATGGCTGGGCTGTCACGCCGTCGTTCCCGCGGCGCGATGCCTGCGACATATGCCGCGCCGAGGGCATTGCGCTGGGCTCCGCGCTCTGGCACCAGCTCCGCGTGTCCGATGCCTTCGGCCGGCGGATGGTCTGCCTTATCGACAACATGTCTTTGTCGCTCGCCATCGGCAAAGGCCGCGGTGGCTCGGCGCAGCAGCGCAGCGTCCTCCGGGAGATCTGCGCCATCTCACTCGCCTGCAGGCTGCGCGTCGTTGCCAGGTGGGCCCCCAGCGAGCTCGAACCGCCCGGCGGCCCATCGCGCGGGCTACCGTGTATCAAGCGCGTGGACCTTTATGTGGCCGCTGGCCATGGCGATCGCCCCCCCCCCATCAGCCCGGCGCCGGCAAGAGGGGGCGCCCGGCGAAGCCGCCGACGCAGAGGGGCCGCCCGCGCCTGGACGTTCTCCTGGGCACGGGCGCTGGCACCCTCAGGGCGCCGCAGCCTGCGGCGGCGGCTGCCCGCCCGCGCGCGGCGCCGCGGGGGGTCTGCAGCTGGGCATCACTTACTTCGAGCAGATGTCGATCGGCAAAGGCACGCTCCTGGACCACCAGTGGAAGGTCAGCAGCTTCGTGAAGTGCTGCTTGGACCTCCGCCAGGACTGGAGCAGCTGGGCCCAGCTGGACTTGGCCGTCGTCGCCTGCGTCGACTACTTGTATTTCCACGGCCGCAGCGGGGGCGACGCGTCGCTGCTCCTAGCGGCCTTCAATTTCTGCCTACCGCCGATCGGCCGCTGGGGCGGCCTGATGCTCTGCCAGGCGCCGAGCAGCCTGGCGGGCCGGGGCAAGTGCGCCCCGCGGCGCATGCGGATGCCAATCCCCTGGCTCGCGGTTGGTGCCATAGCGGGTGTCGGGCTGACGCAATGGCAGTTCGAGCAGACCATCGCAATGATCCTCAGCGTCGCATGCTTCTTCCGATCGTCCGAGTGCGACCTGCTGACGGCGGCGCAGGTCGCCCTCCCCGTCGGGGAGGGCGGCGGGGCCTTGGGCGTCGCCGCGCTGCTCCTCTACCCGAACGAGCTGGGGCACAAGGGCAGGACGGGCCTCTGGGACTTCGCCGTCGGCCCCGTTACTTGCGCTTTCCTGGCCTCGGCGCTCCTGGGTCTGAAGCAGCGGGCCTCGACGCCGTCCGCGCGCCCGCGGATATTTCCGCCGGGGTCTCTAGGCGCGAGCATGAAGTAGCTGCCATGCGCGCTCGGGCCGATGGACTTCCCAGCCCCGGCCTGCGTCGACCTCCTGGCAGGGCGCCGCCTGTGCAGCAGTGCGGCGGCTGGACGTCCGACAACAGCTTCCGCCGCTACGTCGAGCAGGCCCATATCATCGCCAAGCTGCAGCGAGCAGGCACCCGCGCCATCGACCACGGCCGCCAACTGGACGGGCAGCCCCCGACCACCTTCCTGAGCGGCGCCGTGGTCCCCTCGCCGTCGCCGACCTCGCCCGGGCGCTAGAGCTGGCGTCCACCCGCGAGGGGGAAGCCTTCGACTCTCTCGATCCGTCGGCACCTGCTCAAAGACTCGCACAACGCTTTCAAGTTGCAGGGTGGTTCCTCTCGCACGGTGGTGCTGTTGCTGTTCGCAGGGTCAGGCCGCCTTTCTGCTTCCGTTCAACGGCGGGGACTTGCGGCCTTGACAAATGATTTCGCTTCTAAGCCCTGGTTTGATCTGGACCTGCCGGCCGCCCGCCAGACCATCGGAGGCTGGGTCCTCGGATGGGCGCGCAGCGCCATCCGGATCGCGCCCCCCTGCAGCTCCTGGAGCCAGGCCCGCCATGGGCCGCCGGGGACTCGCGGCGCACCATCCGTTCTCGGGGCCACATCTGGGGGCCCCCCAACCTGGGGCCCCGGCCCCGGGCGGCCGTCGACATCGGGAACGCGCGGCTCCGCTTCGCCTTGAGCCTCGCGTCGCTGTGCCGTTCCATGAGCGCCCCCGTCTATCTCGAGAACCCCGGCTCGTCTTGGGTCTGATTGACCCCCCGCTTGCAGGCCCTGCTGGAAGCCCCCGACACTTCGGCATACAATCTCGACATGTGCGCCTTCGGAGCCCGCTGGAGGAAGTTTACTAAGGTGGCCTGCTGGGCCCGCCATCCTCTGGAGGCCCTCCCTGTAGCCCGTTGTAGCTGTAGGAGAGGTTATTGCTCCTTTTGTCTGGAAAACCCCATTTCGATTTCACCGGTCACGACCCCGTCGCGGGAGTTCTCTGGACCCGACCCGCCGAACCTAATCTTGTCAAGTTCTTCAACCGTTTCTCTAAATTGACTGCTAAGCAGACGGGCGATCAAGCTATTCAGCGAATGGTTTCCCTCGCTTGTCCCATTGCCTGTTGATACTCGTAAGTTGTTAATGTGTTTCTCGGCGCCGCTTTGCTCCGCCATTTAACCTCTCGGGCTCGGGTCTCCTCCTCGGTGGTGTGTATCGGTGGTCTGGTGCCTCTCCTTCTCTCCCTCTCTTCCTCGTGCTCGCACGCTCGTCGCTCGCCTGCTGCGCTCGTCGGTGAAATCGTGGGATCGCCCGGGACGCCCGCCACACAAAGATGTTGGGGTGGCCTGGGGTGTACCAGGAGATGGCTGTGTGTATCCGAGCCATCCCTAGAGCAGCGAAGGCCGTTGCGTCTGCCCGCCTCACGTCGACCGTCATGCTCTGGGGCCTCTTCGAGCTGCTCCGCCCCGGCGCTCTCGCCACGGTGGTGCTCACCACAGCGGGGCATGCAGCCGCGGCGGGGAGGATGCCCACAGCGTCTTTGGTAGCCGTCACCTCGAGCTTCCCATTGCCCGTCATGGCATTCAGCGCCTTGCGGCTGGGCGGCGCTCGGACGCGCTGTGGGCTGGGGGCCTTGCTGCCATCCTGAGGGGCTTCCACACCACGCCCCGGCTCTGCCGCCTCCTTAGCGCTGCAGTCGCCGTTGCAGGCTGCCCCGCCTTGGAACCTCAGGCCTGCTGCCCCGTCCTGGCCGCGGCCCGGTGTCTTGAGTCCCCGCGCGCGCCCCCGGCGCCGCCGCCGCCGCAGCCGCATCCCGACCCCAGACCACCGAGGGGGCGGGACTTGCAGGCATCCGCCTGGGACGTCCGTGTTGTGCCGAGCAGGCGCGGCGCCCTCCGTCGCGCTTCAGCGCGCCGCCAACCCCTCGCTAAGGGGGGCCTTCGGGCGCGTGCAATCCTGAGCTGGCCAACCAGCCTTACTACCACCTTGCCTGCGCCGAGGGCGGCTCGGGGCCCCGCGACCGTGGGCAGATGGCGGCGGCACTCTCACCGGGGCTTCAGAATGTCGTCCGGCGCTATTGCGGCCGCCCTGGCTGGCCTACGCAGGCCGAGTACATCGCGGACCATGGCAGAGCCAAGCGCGCGAAGACTGACCCCGACACTGCCCGCCAGGCTGCAACGCTGGGCGTGCCCTTGTTTGACGAGGACGATGGGGCGTTTGGCCCCGCCCCAGGGGACCTCTCCAGCAGCCTGCCAGCCCAGCCCGCCAATTTGGAATGGTGGGACACAGTGGACTACGACGCCCTGGAGCACTACGTCCCCACGATTCTCCAGGTTCCGGCGAACATGAGCGCGGCCCAGGCACAGCTCCGCGGCCGCGTGGCCGAACGCCTCCTGCACGCGCGGACTGCAGGCGATGCTGCTGCCCAGGCCAGGGCGGAGAAGGCTTTCACGTTTTTTGACAGAGTCATGCTGTTCAAGCTCGGGAAAGTTCGCGGTGGTCAACAGGCGCATCATAATTCGGGTGGCTTGACGAGATCCCTGCGCGACGCTTGCGGATGGCCGAGCAGGGGGACTGCGGAGGGATTGGGAGCGAATCCGCAGCGATCGCGAGCCGCGGGCCGAGGATAGGCGGAGGAGGAGGAGGAGGGGGAGACGGCCAAGCAGGACGCACGGGCGGTTGAGTCCTGACAGGATGAGCACCTCATCCGTCAGGCGATGCAGCGAGCCTTCCGCCCCGGCGCACTGGCCTCCGGACCTGGCGCCCACGCCAGCCGCCAGCCCCCAGAGCCTTTTCCCAAGCAGCGACGAGGGGCCAAAGCAACGCTTCCTCCAAGCGCCGGCCGCGCCTGACGGCGACGTTCGCTCAGTCCTGACCGTGGCCGTGGCCAACGGCTTGGCGAAGAGCCCGCGACGCTCTGGCCCAGGGCCGAATGGCAGCAGGTTTGAGCACTGGCGCACGTCGCTGGCCGACAGCCCCGCCCTCGAGGCGGTAGCCAGGGTCGCAGTCGCCTCGCTGCTCTGCGAGCTCAGCCCGGAGGCGACGCGCGCCAACCGATGCGCCCGATTGGTGGCCCCAGCGCAAGCGCAACAGCGCACTCCGGCCGATCGCCCACGGCTCCGTGCCCCACCGACTCGCCGCGCGGGCCGTTTGCGACGATTGCAAAGACGACGCGCAGAGAGCAGTCGGCCCTCACAAGTGCGCTGGCAGACGACAGGCGAGGTGCGAGCTCACGCACGAATGCCTCACTGCCCTCTCGGAGGCACGCCACCTCGGTGTCGCGCTGGCCTTTGACTGCTCCAACGCCTCCAACAGCCACGTGGCAGGTTGATCGACAGCGCGCGGCGGAGGGCGCCCCGGCTGTTCCACAGCGCCCGCCGCTGTCTCGCGGGGGCCACCCATTCTTTCTGGTGGAGCGACCCTGCCGACGGCGCTCGCCGCGTTCGGGACAGCGCGGGCGTGGGCCAGGGGCGCCCGCGTTCCCCCGCGTTCTTCGCACTTGGCATTAGACGCGCTCTCGCGTCTTCAGGCACTCTCGCCCTCTTGCTGGGAGTCCAGCTACCTCGACGGCATCGTGGTCTTCGTCCCACCAGAGCGCGCAGACGCAGCCAGGCAGCTTGTCACTGACATCCTCACATGGCACGGCCTTGGAGTCAGCCAGACCAAGACCCAAGCGCGGCGCGCTGGAGGACGCGGTCACTTTCCAGCCAACGTCCAGAAGTGCTTGGTGGACCACCTCGCGCGCTCGGGAAAAACTGCCCCGCGGCTCGATCAGGGAAGGGGAGGGGGGAGATGAGGAGGGAGGAAGCACGCCTGCCCAGACGGAGCCGCGGCCGCGGCCAAGGCAGCATCGTTTGCCGCCCGCCTGCAAGAGCTGCGGCAGGCGGGCCTTCGGGCCGAGAGTGCGTTCACTCTCTTGCAAACGTTCGCTCGCGGATGCGTCGCGCGACGCCTCCGCGCCGGCCTGCAGGGGGCCGGGCGGAGCAGCTAAACCGAGTTCTCTTCGGCTGCCTCGAGCATCTTGCTGGCGGGCCCCTGGGCGCCCCGCGACGTCTCCGCTGCGCCTCGCCGACGGCGGTTGCGCCTTCCCTTCGGCTACCCTGACGGCGCCCGCCGCTCACGCCGCCAGTTGGGCCCTCCTGCTCCACGAGTCATGGGGCGCCTCGGGGCCCACTCGCTGGAAGTGTTCCGGGCACGCTGCCCGCGGACGCAACGGGCGCTCGACCAGGCAGAGACGACGCTCCAGGCTGCCGGCGTTCTGCAGGCGCTGATTGATTGGATCGGATGCACTGCAGACCCACCGCCGAAGCTGCAGGGGCACTGGGCCAGAGCTGCTTCCGCGGCCAACCGGGAGGAGCTGCTTCAGACGCTCGACGAGGACCGCCGCCTCCGCTCGCGAGAGATCGGAGGCACCCGCGCCAGCCGGGCGACCCCCGCCAGCCTCGAGCGTGGCAGCCTCGAGCGGCGGCTCCGTGCCTCAGTCTGCCCGCCTGGCCCCCGCTGCCAGTACCGCCGCGAAGATGGAAGTCTCTGCGACGAGGCCCTCGACCCGCACGGCCGGCACGCAGTCAAGTGCGAGGTGGGCGCGTCGCGCAACCAGCGCCGCTGCAATTGCCGAGATGGGCACTCCGCGTAGCACGAGGAGCTCGCAGGCTTCGCGGCGCCCACGGAGCAGGCCGCCCCTGCCTGGGATCGTCGGCACCCCCGAACTGGGGAGCTGCAGCAAGCCGTCCTCGACCTCCACCAGCGACCTGGCCAACGGGCGCCACGTCTACGTCGAGTGGGCAGTCGCATGCGCACACTCAACCTACGCTCCTCGCAGGGGTGCCTAGCCAGACAGAGGCGGCTTGGCGGCCGCCCTGATGGTGGAATAGAAGCGAGAGCGGCACCCCCCATCCAGGGACGAGTTGGTCCCCTTCGTCTTCGAGACACGGGGCCGACCCAGCGACGAAGCCGCCAGCTTCGTCCGCAGCTGCGGAGCCGACCTAGAGGACGGCGAGCGCTCCGAGCTGCTGGGCAGCCTCTGGCGGCAGATCAGCAGAACCCTCCAAAGGGGTAACTAATGCTGAGATGCTGCTAAGCGCATTCGGGCGCTAGGCGAGCAGCCCCCCGCCTCCGCTCGGTCCACCGCAACCGCCGCGAGCGCAGTGACCACCGCAGGCGGCCGCGAGCACAACCGCGAACCCGGACCACCACGCCCGCCACCAGCACGACAACTACAGCGCCACCACGACCGCCGCGACGACGACTCTGAACACGACGACCCCCGCGACCACCGACGCCACGACCACAACCAGCGCAGGCACGTTCACCACCGCGACCACCGCCGACCAGCACCACGACCACGACCACGGCCAGCACGACAGGGCCATGACCACCACCACTGCCATTACCACCACCGACCCGACCGCCCCTGCGCCCGGCCGCCCCTTGCCTTTCCTTTCCCTGCCCCTGCTGGGCCGGCCTTGCTGCCGCACGCGCCTGGCGCTTCGCCTCCTCCCTTTCCTCCTATGCATTTCTCCTTGCGTAATTCAATGAGCTATGAGACACCACATTGAGAGGCGGAAGGCCGCAGGACCAGTTCTCCAAGAGGCTGTGTCCGGAAGGTGGCGCTTTTTTGTGGTATGTGCCCGGAACCAAAACCCCAACGCCCAGGGGTCACCCTTGGTGTCCAGGGTGGGGGCCCACTCGGGTGCCCCCTGGGCCTGAGGAGGAGGAGGAGGAGGAGGAGGAGGAGGAGGAGGAGGAGGAGGAGGAGGAGGGGAGGAGGAGCAGGAGGAGGAGGAGGAGCAGGAGGAGGAGGAGGAGGAAGACCGTTCTCTGCATCCTGAGTCCTACTCCTCCCCCCATCCTCCCCGCCCCCTCCTCCGCCTCCTCCTCCTCCCTTCTTCCGCTTTCCCTCCATCCTCCCAGCCTCTTCCATTCCCATTCGTCTCTGCTGCTCCCCTCCGTGCCCTCCTGAAAAGGACCGGGACATCCGTGAGTACTTCGCCACCTTCGGGGCCATCAAGGAGGCCTTCGTGTCCCTGGAAAAGGACACGACCATATCTCGGCGCGTCGCCCCTCGCCGCTCGCGATCTCTCTTCGCACGCTCATTGGTGCGCTGCGCCGCGCTCCGACCTCATCCCCCTTTTCCTTCATCTTGCTCTATCCTCCTTGTCCTTCTCTCCCTGCCTCCTCCTTCGCATTGCTTCTCCTCCCCTCCTCCTTCTCGTCGTTTTTGCCCTTCTCCACGCCCTCCCCCTCCTTCACTCCACCTCGTCCCAATCCCCATATTTCGCATTATCCTTGTTTTCCTCTCCTCCTCCCTCTCTTCTTCTCCTCCTCCCCCTCTCCTCTTGGCGACTGGCGGCTGATGGCACGAGAATCCTCTGGGATGCTGCCCCCCTCCCAAGGGCATTGCCCTGGGGTGGCGGGGTGATCAAACTAGATGAGGCAGTGGAGAGGAAGGAGGACAAAAGAGGACGCAAGGTGGAACTCATGGTAACGAAAGGGTGGGGGGAAGTAGGGATAAGTGATGGCGGCTGTTGGCTCTCCCCTCCTCATCCTCCTTCTCCTCCGCCTCCTCCTCCTAATCATCCTCTTTTTCTCCTCTTCTCCTCCTCCTCCTCCTCCTCACCACCATCCGCCGCCATATTCCTCCGTCTTCCATCTCTTCTCCCTGCCCACTATCTCCGCCCTTTACTTTCTTCCTCTCTCTCTCTCTCTCTCTTCTTTCATCCCCCCGTTGCTCCTTATCGACCCCTCGCCATCCTCTCCCTCCTTCCCCTCCTTCTCTTCCTCCTCGTCTTCATCTCCACCCATCTCCCGCACATCCTGCTCCTGCTCATCCTGCACTGCTTATGCTCTGGCGGGCCTTCCTGAGGCTCTTGGGGACCTCGAGAGATCTCCCCTGGTCGTCTCTCTGACTTTTTCCTCCGCCACTCTTGCACCCACCGCCACCCTCCCCCAATGCCATGTTACGGATCGGAGCACGGTTCTTTCGAAATGCCCGTGGTTCTGGACCGTGCCCCACGTGCTCCGCTCCCCTGTGGCCTCTCCGCCTGGCCTTCACCGTTGTCTTCTTCCTGCTCCTCGTCGTCCGCTGCCGCTACTCCTCCCTCGAGGTGCTTCGCTTCCCTGCGTTTCTTCGACGACGCGGCAGCAGAGAAGGTGCCCGCCCCAGCAGCGCCATGCCATGTGCCCACCTATCGAGACCGCCGACTCGTGGCCCAGCCGAGGCCATCGACAAGACCATTGGCCAGTTGATCGATCGAGACGATCACAAAACGGTCGGGCTGTCGGGGGCGAGGGAAGGACGACGACGACGACGACCTTCCCTGGCCGTGCCTGTTCCTCCGGGGGCGCGCGTCGGCCGCACTTGCCTTCCGACTTCGCCGCGATGCCGCGCAACCGGCTGCCGAGCAGGCAAACTATCGGGACCCATAAAGATTGGAAGGAGAAGGAGTACAGTGGGAGCGCGCGTCAAGAAATCCTTTGCTTTTCGTCACGTTACCCTGGGTTTCTTCGCTCCGCGCGCTGCGCTGTGACTTCCCGCAGCCGTCGAAGAAGCTGCTGCGTTCAGGGTGCTCCAGGTTTCCCCTCAGATGCACCTCCCGCGCGAGTTTTCCGGGTGTTTTTTTTTTCTTGCGAGGCTTTCTTGCGGCCGCGCTCACACTCTACGCTGCCAGGCCCCCTCCCCCCGCTGCAAACTGAGCATCGTGCCACCCCCCGCTGCAGCCTGGTCGGCGCCCGGCAGCTCCCACGCCAAAAGCCAAGGGACGCCCTTGGGTCTCAGGGTTGGGTTTCTTGTGGAAGGCCTCTCGTGGTCGAGATCCTACTGCAGGCTGCCGGACGAGAAGGACGGGAAGGAGAAGGAGCAGGACGGGGAGGAGGAGCCTGCGACCCACACCAAGAGCCAATGGACGCCCTTGGGTCTCAGGGTTGGGTTTCCTGTGGAAGGCCTCTCGCGGTCGAGCTCCTGCTGCAGGACGAGGAGGACGGGAAGGAGGAGGAGCAGGACGGGAAGGAGGAACCTGCGACGCCACCCCCCCGCCCCTCCCCCCCTGCAAACTGAGCATCGTGCCGAGCCCGCTGCAGCTTGGTCGGCCCGAGTCAGCTCCTGCTGTCGTCGACCGTCGGCCTTCGCATGTTCTCACTCGTGAGGCACCGCGGCGAGGGCGCCACAGCACAGTTGAGGAGTACGTTCGCTTCGGCAACAGGCCTGGTGCTCCGTCGGCGCTTCCTGCGCTGCCCTGGCACAACGCCCCTGCGTGCAGGCGCTGCCGTGTCTCACTCCTGGGGGCCGAGCTTCTTGGTGTGCGTCGGTGGCAGATCATGGGAGCCTGGTGTACACTCGTGGTTCCGCCTTCAGCGTCGATCGGCGTGGATTCACGTCCGGGTATCGATGAGACAGCGCCGATTCAGCGTCGATGTGGCGTCGATTCGCGTCGGTTCGCAAGAGCCGACAAGATGGTATGGGAGGGTCCCGTGGGTTGCCACCGAAGTGTGCGCCGCCCGTGCCCCCGGGCACGGCAGCATCTCTCCGCGCGGGGCACTCACGCGCTTGCCCAGCAAAGGGGCGCGCGGTCACTCGAGGTCGGGGAGGGGGAGGGGCAGGGGTGCGTCTTCGGAGGCCTCCTAGATGGGGTCCGAGCAGATGGTGTCGAAGGATCGCGCAGCATCGCCAATGCATCGACCATGCATCGGCGGTGCATCGGCGATGCATCAGCGACGTCGGCGATGCATCGGCGACGTCGGCGTGGGGAAGCACGGGCTCCACATCGAGCCGCATCGTCGATGCGCCGGCAATGCGGCGCGATCCTCCGACCCCATCTGCTCGGACCACGTCTAGGAGGCCCAGAGTCTTGGCGCTATAAGTCGGGCGGACGGCAGCGGGGGGGCAATACGTGGGGGGATCGAGAATTGCAGGAGCGCGGCTCTACGGGCCCCTGGACTGCCATCGCGAACCCAGAAGGTGCACGCGCGCTTCTTCTCCCCACGTGTAATGCCCCCCCTGTTAACGAATATCCGAATCTGGGCGCCGTGAACGACGGTGCGCTCGTGTTTTTGGGGTGCGCTGAGGGGGGCGCTGTGTGCGGCAGCTGCTCCGAGGAGCTCCGCGCGGTTCCGGGGCGGTTGTCCTTGGGTGGGGACGTGTTTGAGAGTGTCTCGTTTTGTTTGGCTCCTTGACCTCCTCCTCGTCGTCGTCGTCCTTCTCCTTCTCGTTTTAATTATCCCCCTCCTCCTCCTCCTCGTTGTCTTCGTCCTCCTCCTCGTTGCACTACTGGGGGGGAAACTTCATGCGGATGAGCTGCCCCACTAGAGTTCTATGTCCTAGAGCTTGCGGCAAGATCTGCCACCGTGCCAGCGCAGAGCTTTCTCTACGTCTCTCCTCACATGACCCAAGTTGGCCACACCGTGTAGCGACTCGCTTCCTCCTCCTGCTCCCCGTCTTCTTCTCCCCCCCCTCCTCCCCCCCCCTCCTCCTCCGCCGCGCCACAGCTCTACGGCCCGAAGCAGCCCCCAAAAGTATGCCAAACAGCTCCCCCCTCGGTCCTCCCCCCCTCTTCTGGAGCGGACCCGCCCGGAGCGGCCCGGCGGCGGGCCCAGGTGCTGGCGGGCAAGCACGAGATCTGGGGGCGCCCTGGGACGGCAAAGGGTCCGCAGCCGAGACCTGGCGGCAAGCGCCGTCGGATGTCGTCGTCGTCGTCAGGGCAGGAGGAGGAGGAGGAGGAGGAGGAGGAGGAGGAGGAGGAGGAGGAGGAGGAAGAGGGATGGGGAGCAGGAGCAGGAGGAGGAGCAGCAGCAGGAGGAGGAGGAGGAGGAGGAGGGAGGAGGAGGTTCCCGAACAGTGCTGGAGCAGGAGGGGGGAAAAAGGGGCGGAGGATTGATTCCGGGACTATGCCATCCACGCCGATCAGCCATGGCGTAGCAGTTTGCAGGCTGGACCTGGCCCGCTGAGCCTGACCCAACGCGTCTTGCACTTCCGGAGGGGCGGTCCCTCCCGCCACTTGCGTGCCCTGGGAGGCCCAAGCAGCCATGCAGAGAAGCATCGCGACCGTGCACATCGCGCCTCCTCTGATCAATGCCCCTCGCCTCGCACTGCAGGGGCAGAGGGAGCTGAGGGAGCGCCACTGTCTTCGCGCCCCAAACCCAGGCTATGGTTCTTCAATGTTTGTCCGATGCGCCGTTCCAGGGGTCTCGACCGCTTCCCCGCGGGCGTTTCTTCGTCCCCGATCTATGTCTGATGCTCCATTGGCCGAGAACGGTCCCCGGAGTCCGAAGTTTTGGAAAAACGCCAGGGCGGAAACAAAATTCAGATCGTCGGCCTCGCCCTCCTCCTCCTCCTCCTCCTCCTCATCCTCCTCCTCCTCCTGCTCCTCCTCCTTCCGTAGCCATTTTGGCTCAAGATGGGTTGTTCCACAGGGGAACACGTGGATACCGCTAGTCCGCGGCCAGTGCCAGGGCGCCTCTGCCCGACGGTTTTGTTCCAGCCGGCGGGTCCGCCCCCGTTGGCTGCTGCCTGTCGCCGCCCCGCGACTGAGCAGTCTCCGGCGCCCTCGAGTCCCCGCCCATGCCAGATGGGGTCAAGCGCAAGAAGAAGCCTCGTGCCGTACGTGGTACTAGCGTCGCTGCTGATGGTGATGCGCGTGCTGGTGCACAGCCTGCAGCCGCTGGTGATGACGACGCTCGTTCTCGCTCCAACAGAGGTGCCTCCAGCGAGGGTGAAGATGACTTCATGGACTCGGATGGCTGGGAAGAACATATCAAAGGGCTCATTCATGGAGAGCTGCAGGCCAAGTTCAACATCTTCCAGACCGAGGTTACCGAGCTCGTCACCGCGTCCGCCAGCAAGGCTGCCTCGTCCGCCGTCGACCCTGTCATGGCCGCCATCAAAGGTGTCGAAGCTGCAGTTCAGCAGGTGCCGCAAACTTGTAAGTCCCAACTTGAAGCGCAACTTCGTCCCGAGCTCGAGGCCATGCAGAGACGCCGACAGCTGCAGATCGACACCATCCAGTCGCGGGTCCGAGACATCGACACCCGCACAGAGACGCTGGCCACGGACATGGAGCAGCTCAAGTCGCTGGTCGAAGAGCTTCGCAAAGAGTTGGTGGTCGCAAATCGGTCGCCGCCTCCACCTAAGCCGACGCCTGGGTTCACTCGAGCGGTGGATGGCACGATTCTCAAGGTCGTCGCTCCTACCCTCGTCAAGAAGTGTGACGTTCAGGGCTCTGTGGATAAGTGGCTCAAGGACGCAAGCATCGACGGCTTCACCATTCAGGGCGACGACCAAGACAAGCTCTTCACGATCCAGTTCACTGGTGCAGTGGGTATCGCTGGAAAGAAGGTTGCTGCCGCTTTATCGGCTCTTCGTCTTCCTGGGAAAGGACAATGGATGCGCTTCCCCATTCCTGCAGCCAGCGGGGGAAGCACCCAGCTGCAGATCGGCCCCGACAAGAACCCTTATCATATCAAGATGGGGACCACAGGAAAAAATGGTTGCAGCCCTTCGCGATGAGTTCAAAGACGCCAAATTCTATTTCGATCGCCCAAATGGGTGGATCTCAGAGAGTTGGAACCCGATTGTCAGGATCGAACCGCAGCCTGGTCGCGACCCTACGAAGATCTTCTGGCACGACGCCGCGATCACCGCACGGCAATGGTCACGAGCTGAACTACGTCGCCTCCTTGATCCAATCGCTGCGCCGACGGTTGCGCCTGAGTGGGTGCTTTAGCATCTTCGACGACATCTTTCTGCATCATGCCACTGGCAGCTTAAGTGCTCTGAGCTGTCCTTCGTCACGTGGAACGCTCGTGCACTACTACGTTGGCGAGGTATGCAAGCGATGGCTAAGGCGGCTTACTTACAGTTGGCGGGGATTTCTTCTTCCGCTTTTGCTTTGCAAGAGGTTCATCAATCGTTGGACGAGCTTCGCTTCTTCTTGCGGCGGATCGCTCCAGGGGTTTCCGTCTTCGGCTCGTTCGACACCGACGCCTATGGCCATGCGCGTGGTGGCGTTGCGACGGTGGTACCGCTTTCTGCTCAATCGGTGGCGGCGTCCTCATCTCGCTCGCTGGTTTCGGGCCGGGTGCTCAAGACGTGGTTGGTTGGGTCACGAGCTGAGATTCTCCATTATAATGTGCACAACCATGACCTTCATCATGACGATGTTCAGCGTATATGTTCTCTTATTGCAGCTGACTTAGAGTGGGCACAAGCCGATCCACAGTCAAGACTGGTGGTTGTATGTGGTGATTTCAACTTTGCAGCATCGGAGCCACTACATACTTCTCAGCCGTGCCTGAAGCGATCGACCCGTCCGACCAACAACAATCGTACGCATATGAAGAGCTGGGTGGTGGTGCTGGACAAGATGCTTGAGATTTCGGCGGAAGACCCTACGCACTATTGCAAGGACTCTCATACTGTTGCTCAGCTTGATCGTCTTTGGTTATCCGAGCCTGGGTGGGTCGCCTGCCAACTTCATCATTCCGCAGCAGTGGTTTCGTCTCCTGACCGCCTCAGCGAGCAGCACATTTCGGATCATGCAGCTCTTCGGGTCCACCTTCTGCATCGCTCTCTTGATGGTAACTATCGGCGTCCTGTTCCGCGTTTTGTGTATCTCTGTGGTGACTTTCGCGCTCGACTCGACAGGCTTCTGCGCCAAGATGGTCGTTTCTTCACAGATATGTCTCTTCCTCGTCAGATGGAGAGGTACAAGGTGCTTAAGGACTCAGCGGCTTTTGATGCGCTTCAACAAATTCTGGTTACTGGCATTGACAAACCTGAAGTCTAATTGATTTTTGCTCGGCAAGCTGCGCGCGCTATTTGGTGGCACGATGCGCGTCTTGCTCAGAAAGTTGCCAACTCGTCCGAGGTCTTCAACAGCTGCGTTAACATTTCCTCCGAGGGGCTGGTTCAGTTGGTGCATCCTGCGGCGTTTCAAGCATGGGTGGAATCTATACAACATCGAGCGGCTGAGCAACAACTGGCGGTTCTCCAACAGGGTGCTCTTCATGGGAAAGGCCGCGCTAAGGTTTCTCCTGGTACTCTTCCTGCAGCATAAAGGAAAGCCAAGGTCTGGGTCCCCTTCGGCAAGCGGCTCACGCTGCGCGCCATTCAGGTTGGCGCCCATCAGCTTTCTGATCCTGCCGAGAAGTTGAACGCGTTGGTCAGCCTGAACATGCTGAGAGGTACACCCAGAAGTTTGTCATGCCGTGCGTGTTCGATGATTTTCCCCCACCTTCGCTTCAGATGCTTCAGCGTACTTTGCGGCGTATGGCGCCCTCGCGCTCTGCGCCTGGAGTGGGCGGCCTCCCCTTTGTAGCTTGGGCAGCACATGAGCATGGAGCTGAGGTGTTATGGCAGGCGTGTCGCTGGATGATGGATGGTCAGACGCTCTTCCCGTCAGCGGGGGCGACGCTGCAAGCTTTTCTTCCCAAAGGTTGCCTTGCTGGAGACGATGGCGAGCGTGGTGTCGTTCGCTCCCCTGACACTGTGCGTACTCTCGGCCTTCGCAATACTGATGTGAAGGTCATCTCCGCGACGCTCAACGTGGCTTTCTCGCCGATCGCGCAGCAAACTACTTCAAGGACGCAGCGGGGATTTATCGCGGGCAGGCAATTTACATCGAACATTCTCGGGTTTGACGTTATGGCGAGGATTGCGCCCCTTCATCCTCGGGCACGGGATCAGCAGCCGATCTTTGTGGCACTCGACTTCGGCCAGGCGTTCCCCAGTTTGAGTCAGCAATGCCTTTTCACGGTGCTCAAACGGCTTCGCCTCCCTGATGCCCTTTTTTCTGCCTGCTGCTCGATTTATGCTTCTGTCACAGCTGTGGGACGGCTCGGTGGGATTACTACGGATCTCTTCGCCATCGAGCGCGGCATCATCCAAGGGTGTGCGTTGCCGGGTAGTTTGTTCGCGGCTGCTGCATTGCCGTTTCTCGAAGATCTTCGACTTGGGTTGGAGATCAAACATCGTGGTCTCTTTCGCGCATGCGCGGATGATATCGGTGGCGTGTTATTCGCCTTGGTGGACTTGCGTTTTTTGGCACGGGTCATGGTGGTAGCGGAAAAATTGCCAACCTTAAGCTCAAGCCGCCGAAGTGCGTTATCGTCCCGCTCGCGGGGAGGTTCGGAGGCGATCTGAGGGCCGGATTGCGAAATGGTCTGGGACAACTGGTGCCTCACTGGCATGCCTTTCGCCTCGAAGCGAAGCTGCTCTACCTTGGCATATGGTTGGGACCTGCCGTTACTGACTTATGCTCTTGGCTGAGCCCGTGGGATAAATACAGAACTCGCATCTCGGCGCTTGCTTCGTCGGCTGCGCCAGCTTCTTTGAATGCAGTCAACTACATGGCCAGTGCGCTACCCACGTTGTCCTACGTGGCACAGTTCGCACCACTTCCCAAGCAGCTATTTCAACAAGATGTTCACAACTTGGTGCGGCTTCTGCGGTTGCCTGGTGGCGCTCTACGGTATGTGGATTTTCACTGTCTTGGCCAGTGGGGTGGCCCCAAGCTTCGTGCTCTTGGTCCTGCGTGTGGTTCTGCGCTTATTCGCTCGGCTCTTACTACTCATCCTGAACACGTTCGTTACCTCCATCGTCTTCAGGTGGCCGCTGAACGCTGGGCTC